AATACATTTCATGTCAAAACTATTTTTTTCCCTATGATTTCCTTTACTAAAGAAAAAGTTGGAAACCTCAATCAGGGAACCCGAATAAGAACTAAATTAATACATCTGACCCATTTTAATTTTTTCTTTAAATAACATGGAATTTTTCACTATTTTAAAAATTAATTTTTTATCCGTTATAGTGGTCTATGTAAAAAATTTATGAAAATAGATGTTTAATCAAGCGCGTAGGGTTTTTCAAGTTTGACCTTCGCGCCTTAGTGAAGTAATATATTAATGTCATTAAAAAAAAAAAAATTTCTGGTAAAAAATAATGAAAAAATTCACACAGTTTTCTGACACTTTAAAGAAGTATTGTTAATAGTATTACTGTTTTCTGTACATTTTGAGAAAATCATTGAACCTTATTGAAACTTGACGGTACTTTCTTTGGAAATGGAATCATACTGGGGTTTTCCATAAGAACTTATGTTAAACACATAAAAATAAAAACATTCATAACTTCTCTTTCATGCTGTGTAAGCTTATAAAACTCAAACTGAGTCGTTTTTACAGTAACAGATGAAGTTGAGCCAAATTTCATCGAAATCTAGTCCTAGTTAGAGTACTGAGAGAACCTACTACTCTCAAGTTTAATTCAGAATTATGTTACGAATACTTATGTTACAAATGATTGAAATCAAGATTCACAGATTACAATGATCACAAAACAGACAAAACAAAAAGCAGATTGTACCAAAACTATGATGGAACTAACAGAAATTTAAAATTAATTACAATGCACGAGTGTCGAGTTCGACAAAATTGCAACTTTGATACCAATTTTCTCAAAAACTGTATTGTAACTATAGCTTCACTACTTATTAATTTCATCGGTAGATTACAATAATTTTTTTGACTTTTATTTTATTGTTGTTTTTGGGACGATCCTCCGTAAGTGGAATATTGGATAGTGTTGAGATGGGAACGGTTAAAGATACCTATATACGCCCTCCTACGTCTTCCACCCTTGACTCCTTACTGAGAATGGAATGTTTAAGGAGCTGTTGTATATGCCTTACTGTCCTTACTGATAAGGCCACCACCAACAGCTCTGGGACGAAATACGCTGGACCGAGTGGCGGTTCGATTAATTACTTCACTACACATACACAACGAATAGATTACGTTATGGGATGCGTATGTTTCTTTTTCCTGAAATATTGGAGATTGGACTGAACCTCTAAAATGGGGGACAGTCGCAGAAAGAACATGTATTATAATGATGGTCAGTCCTATATTTCTTCTACTTCTTATTATTGGGTAGAGCCTCACTGTCGTGTATAGTAGGTTCATTTTGCCATTACCGGATTATAGGCAGTATTTTTTACTTGAAAAACGTTTGCTAATTGTACAGCCTTATACTTTTCTAATTGCTTTTCTGATGGTTTATTCAATAACATTGGCTCGTTTGTTTTCGAATACGAATGTTTCAGATTAACAAATATGCAAACCGAAGTAGAATGTTTGCACAAACCTTGTCCAGCTTTACAATTGCACACATCATTACGTACACTCCTATCTCCATTTATCTAATTAAAACTCGCAGCCCCAGGAGTTTCTCTTAAAACTCGGCCCTTTAGACATCGCCGGCCGTCCTCTCGTAAACAGAATTACCTACATGACAGCTTTTAACAAGTTTTTTCACCTTTTAACAGACTTTTTTTCCTAAAACCTTGTTTCCCCTTCTTGAAAGTCAGTACTAACAATTATGACCACATTCGAAAAGGAACAACATGAATTCTTATTAATAATTAAAAGCAAAAGTTACTTTATCCTGATGACCAGTGGATACAGCATTGCTCGTTTCTATCACCCAAGTATTTGAATATGAATCCGTGAGATGGCGCGAGCGCTCCGCACAGGAGATACTTCCCGATTATTGCGTCATGGCTGTATAACTCAAAGTTTTGCCAATAAAAATTATTACTATACTACGCTTACTATACTTCCCAGTCAGAAATTATCTTCGGCTAGCCGAAGGGTTCCCTGTGGCCTGTGTTCACGGACCACCTTCGGTATATGAGCACAGGCGCGCCTTCGGGCCACCTTTGGCAGCCGAATGCTACCCGTATACGGGCCGAATATAGAGTAACGATTATCTAGGTGTTATATACAAATCACGAAGTATACTTCGTGATACAAATGATGTTTTTTCTATTTTGTATAGTTTTACAGCTGTTTATAGTTGTCGTTTTAATAAAAGTAGAAGACGAAAAAAGAAAACGGTACTTATTTCGTAAAAATTTTAATGCGTCCAGCTGACTAATGGAACAATAGCTGATCCTAAGCTAATAATAATAACAACAAAATCTGCACTGAGTACAGTGATAAAAAATTCTACTGACCGGGGCGAAGACTGACCGGTTGGGTAAAAAGAGCGCTTAAAAGATGTTCTGCAAACCTTACAGCGGGAGAAAAAAATGACAACGTAATAAGATAATAAGATTTTCTATTTTTTTGTTCTTTACTTTTTTGTACACATATGTTCAACTTGACAAAAAACATTCTAATTTTGCTAGTCAATACGTTTCAAACTTATTTTTATAAACAGTTTATGCTATAAACAAGTGTAAAATGATTTAAAATAGAAAAATATCATTTGTACATAATCTAGATAATCATTAATCTACTATATTCGACCCGTCTTCACTCCGTGGGTTAACAGATATAGATAGGTCACGTGTACCCTCCTTCAAAAAGTGAGGACGCTTTAGCATTGTAATATACAGAGATATGAAAGAAATTGTTTGTATGTATATTTTTATTGGAAAAAACTTAACTATGTTTCACATAAACATGTAATTATAAAAGTTTTACTTAATATCTAGTAGTTTTTATCACAAAAATCATACTTTAAATATAACAAAGTTACAATAGATGTATACTCGGGGATGACGGGAATCGAGAACTCTGCGGAGGGTTCCATGTTATTAGTAAATCTATATCGAGAACTAGTTCCTTTTATAGATACAAAAGTGAGGTTAACTTGTTCCTTTGTATGGCGTTTATACATCTTGGCCGACTTTAAACGCTTTTTTTAACAGGGAATATGAAAGAACTTTACTGCGCTACTTCACTCCGAGTTTTCACATGTAACAACGCAACAACATGCGTGATGAGGAATTTAAAAAAAAATATCCATCCCAACAAGCATTAAGCGTCCTCACTTTTCAAAATCGTCTGCCACCATGCGAAGCACTGTGGAACGCTTTATCCCCACCACGCCAACCCTCGGAGCGAATACGGGCAGCATTCGGCTGCCAAAGGTGGTCCGAAGACGCGCCTGTCTCATGCCTAAGGTGGTCCGTCTTAGGTACCAAAGGGTTGCCGAAGGTAGCTTTTTTGATCGGGTTACCAAGCGTATATTAAGAACTCGTTCCGAATGGTGTACTGATAAGCGTACCCCGGGTACGCAAGCAACTTTACATTGAAACGTTCTAAAAGAAAAAATCGTGGTACGCCAAAGTCTCCATGAATGTATGGCAGCACATTATGAGAATGGGCTTGTTTCTGCCATCAGATGGCGGTAGTGTGCCCAGATAAGACTTTCAAAGAACTATATATTAAATACATATATAGTTATAGTTCTGTAAAAATCTTACCTGGACACACTATCGCCATCTGATGGCAAAAACAAGCCCATTTTATAGACACCTTATGTACGTAGGTATATTGTACACTCAGTGGAACTCTGATCTGTTCCGGACCCTATTTCGGAACTATGGCGTGAAGTACTGTTCAATAATAGGGTCCGGGACAGATCAGAGTTCCACTGAGTGTACATACAGACTTTGGCGTACCGTGATTTTTTCATTTGGAATATTCCAAATGATTATATTATTTAAATAATCATATTCGTTGATTCTCTGCCTATCACTGAGCGACCCAATTCTTTGAATCAAAAAAAATTTCTTTACCCTCATTCCGTTAAATATTTTCCAATGAGCCAAAAAATATAAGTTAATTGAAAATAATATTTTATAAAATTAAAATTTTCTTTTTTTAATTACGAATTACTCATTTAGTTTTACGAATTATTTTTTTGGATCGACTAAATTTGTTTCAATTAAAAGAAAATATTTAACGGAATGAGGGTAAAGAAATTTTCTTTGATTCTAAGAATTGGGACATGATGTGTGTGCAGGGCTGTCCTAGCGCCACGTATCGGCAAAGTATGGTACTGAGTGAACCAGGTGAGTGAAATTGAATCACACTACAAACTACCTGAAAATCACAAGTAGAAAAATCAAAAGGCTTTTACAGAAGAGAAAAAAGTGTTATTAAGTACTTAAGTTCTCGAATTTTAAGTAACAACGTATAGTTAGTTTTTGTTGGTAGACTTACTCATTCCAAGTAGGACCGCGAAGCTCATAAAAAGAGAAAAGTCGAGGGTAGTCATATCTTTTCCCTTGCACAACCGTGGAGTAAGTATGTCTATTGTAGCAAATCTAGTAAAAATATTCTTAGTTTTTATTGTAAAGATAGTAGTGCAAGTAGACTAGTAACTAACTGAACTACAGTGGTCTCTGCAAGTTTATCGTTGAATTGTTGAGTATAACTCGAGGTATAATTTTGTTAAGGTCGAGTTGCTTTGTAGGGTTAGCTCGAGTCTGCTGGGAACAAGAACAGGTGTAGGTATACGGTTATGAAAAACAGCCGCTTCCGAAAGCCAAGTTATTAAAAATACGTAACGACCGACTGGACCACTATCGAAATCGAACAATTCTGAGAATCAAACGTCCGGTGGGAACGAGTGGTTTTTTTTTTCACGAACGCGCCATATTACGTACCTCTTCCAATATGTGTGTATGTGTGTGTGGTGTATGCACTTAATTTTGGCTTTTGATCATTGCCATTTGTTTGTCAAATTCAAATTGATATCCTACCATTTGTAACTTAAACGTATTATTCGTTTTGACTTGATGAGTACTTAATTGTCTTTTTTATTTATGTTGCAGAAGCTGCAGTGAAATCAACGTTGGTCGTCTGTTTACCCAACATCTTGGTATTGTATCAGGAAGTACCACGTGTATTCAGTGAGAGTCCGACTCGGCGGGTGCTTAACATCGTCACTGGATACCTTCATGATTCTGAAACTCAGGTAACGTTGATTACGATAAAAATTTTGATCTTTGATTTGATTTTGCTCGTTTGTTTACTCATAAGTGTACACGTGCTCCTTACAGGTACGGCAAGATGCGTTGGGGGTCATTAAAACGCTGCTGGACCGCGAGCTACTGGACGAAGAGTCCATCGAGCAGGACCTGTGCAAAACTATCATCGATCTCTCGTGTCACGTGAGCTACGACTTGCAATCATTGGCGCTTAGTGTAAGTTACACATAGTATTTTTGTTTTTCTGTTTTTTTTTCTCATTACTTTATAATAAAAAAGTTTAATTTATTGGTCGTAAGGCATATCCACTTGCTAAAAAATTTTGTGTAATACGTTAGGTAATGAATGTACACTTGATAATGATCAGTATTGTAAGTAATGGTATATTTAGTTTGAAATCTTAGAATCTAATTGTTGTACGTAAGCAAATAATAAGCTAATATTTGCAAAGAAAGCTTTTTGTCAGAGTTGACAAAGTAAGACTTAATCATTCACATTTCAAACGAATCTTGTTAACAACAATCCTACTTCTTTCGGTACTATTACTGTTACAAATAATATGCATAGTACGGCTATTTTTTGATACCAACTAATTATTATAATACATCATGTATCATCTTTCGCTCTGTCCTAACTTTTAGGCTAGGTCAATAACATGCAGGATAATAATAGTATTACTACCTACTACCTATTGTCGCCATAACTGCTATGATTTATTATACATGATATGACATATTAATATACTAAATTTCTGACTCGCAATTGGCGAAAATTCGTGCCTGCGATGATCGAGCAAACGCTGCACAAAAGACAGTTATTTTTATGGTTGGTGTAAAGTGATATCTCTGATGAATCACCATGTGAATGATAAAATCTCACGATGTCGTTTTCGTATGAAAAATTTTAACACAAATTATTTTGAGAGAGTCCATAAATGAGCACATGCTCAAAATCAATGAAATGTATTCTGTTGTACATACGTGTCTTCATCTTCACCGGGCGACTGTCGTTATACTCATTACTCGTAATTGTTGAACAAAAGTATGAAAAAAAAAATATATATACTCGTAAACGCAGGGGTGACATTCCGCTTGAAAGACATGGGTAGTGAGATGTTTCTCTATCTTTGCGTCTCACTACCTTGTCTTTCATGCGGCGTTCGCTCGACCATCGTAGACACGAAAAACATTAATATAATAACGCCAAAAGGAGAAAGAAGTGGGTCGTCATACAACGCCGCTGGAATTTGAAAATTGGAAGGTCATGCTTTTACCATCAAAGTTGGTTTGTCATAGAGTAATCAGCTATCACAGCCAGCTTTGATGAGCAAAATCGTGTCCACCGTCGACTATGGGTCCCATGTAGAATTTTTTCGACCAAGAGAGCGAGTGATGGGAGACAAAAGACGCATAAGCTCACACTTTTACGGTCTGATACATCAAATTGGTTGTGGAATGTACGCACTGTCCCTCATATCACAGCCATTTTGATGAGCTTGGCCCGTAAAACCGATCGACAACGCTCTCTGGACTGCTCTTGTAATTTATTTTCAAGAGAGAAGACTTTTTCCATCGCTTTCTTTTCGATTGTAATCTTAATCTTAATTTGCATATTCAAATGTATGGTCAATTTGATTGTAACAATTTGTTCTTCTCTACATGAAATCAGTCATTGCCATTAATAGTATGTTATTCAGTGAAGGAATAAAGAATGCGATATTCATAAGTAAAGTAAGTAAAAGAAAATGTATATTTAGAATGCTGAAAAATAGTGTTAATCAGAATCAGATAATTGAAAATAAAAATAAGTTAAGACGTATAGTGTTACTCTTACTTCAGTGACGTAAATTTTGTACATTTATAAGCGCAGTTTCTGTATGATTGTTTAAACCATTGACATAGAGTTAGTAGTAATCAGAATTTTAAGTTGAAAATGGATTTTACTTTTTTAGTTGATATCTATCGGTTGAAATGAAAAGAAAAAAAGTAACTTTACTCAAGTAGATCATCCTCCTCGTTCTCGAGGAGTTGGGCAAGGTCTGATCGTCAAATTGGTTGTGACGTGTTGTATTGAGTTCATATCACAGCCATTTTTGACGAGTTGGATCTTTGTCCACTCACGTCGTCGTTCTTCACATCTAACTTAAATGAATCAAAGACTGAGAGGAAAACAGCTGGTGGACTCAACACCAGCTTTGTCGCGTGACAGACTCGGTGCTCACAAAGTGGTTGTTGTATGTTGTTCCAATTCATATCACAGCCAGCTTTGTTGAGCGCAGAGTTTTCTCACTTTCATCGGATCATCAGTAATCGTGCATATGTTTGCATGTGCCCACATAGAAAAGAAGAAAAATTTGAATCAATATGAAAGTACAAAATTGCTCATTTAAGTTGATAGGCAACCCTTGAAACTTTTTTTGTGATACCCGTTTATGTTCTGTACTGCGTTACATTAAGTTATCAAATGAAAAAAAAACTCACGTGAGAAAAGAAAGAAGAGAAAAAAAAACGAGTACAATAGAGTCTGGATCCCGCCTCTTGCAAGGAAAGTGTCCTTTACCCCTCTGATCTCTACCTCGTTCCCCCACAACCCGACCTAATGAAGGGAGAGAAAAGACGACCGGTGTTCGCACCTACAGGGCCGTCCGGATCCTCCTCTTCATTTCTCTCTCCCCCTCGTTGCAACGCCAACACATTCACAACATATTTATATACTTACCTACCTTGTATTCCTTTTCGACTGCACATGTTTGCTCGTGTGCGAGGACGTCGGGAGAGAGAGGGAAGCTTTCTAGCCTGGCTGCAATTTCACAGAATCGAGATCGTGGGACAGACTCTCGTCAGATCCGGGCTACTCTCTCTCTTCCTTGCTCTTTCTTTCGCTTGGCTGCTTCGTTGACTCCCGTTCTCACAAATTTGTGTATCTATCGCGCGCGAAGATCTATTCATGTGCGTCAAATGTGCTGCTGTGTGTTCATACATGTTACAGTGTATCCATCGAAATGGTTCTTCTCTGTTATTATCGGATACTTTTTTTTGTATAGATGAAGTGTATATCATCAAGTTTATATGGGTTTCAATCTTTGTAAATATTGTTACTTGCGACATAGATATTTGATTGTTTTGCCCGTCAGAGTGGTTGTGATGTGGTATACATTGAACGCATATCACAGCCAGCTTTGATGTGCAAAACAGTTGAAAATAACAGCAAACCTGAAGCTTCTTCGTCGTTCAACGTTCAACAGCAGATCAGTGTATTTACTTACGCAACTTCATACGGCGATCTATAAAATTTTCTACGATAATGACAGTGTAATTTAATTTTTAATATGTACATTTAAGGTATCATGTGAATTAAACTGATGAATTGATGCGTATTTAAATTTATTTGTTTGTGACTGCAGAAACAATAATGAAAATTACACTTACGATCAGTATGTTTGAAACAAAGCATTTTAATGCGGCCAAAAAAATTTATTTTAATTTTTATCATTCGTAATGTTGGAATTACTTTTATGCATACGGTTTATTTGATATTTACAACATCCGGAAAGGTGTTTTATACACGATAACTAACAAATGTCATATTTTTTGTCTGCAGCTCATGACGAGAGTGAATCCATTCATAGGGGATGAACTGACGGAGAAGCTATTCCTCGATCGGTTTCTCGATCTGTGCACGAGCGATGCCTTCTTGGTCAGAAGGGTGTGCGCCTCCATAGTGGGCGAGTTCTGCACGATATTGTCGAAAGAGGCAATTTACAACAAATTGGTGAGACTTGAACAGATCATTGTAAAATAATTTAATTTAATCAACAGCAGAGAAAATTAATTTCTTTCTTCTCGCTTCGTCTTACACAGCTACGCGCATACTCGAAACTGTGCATGGATGCGGTGTGGAGCGTGCGAAAAACAACGGTCGACGTGATGATGTCGGTGGTACGGTGCGTGCCCCTGTCGATGCGCCGGCATTTACTCTCGAAGCTTCTTGTCCAGCACTTGCGCGATGAATCGCGCTGGGTCCGACGCTCGGCCTACGAGATCCTGGGCCCGTTCATTTCCACCTTCGCTAAGCAGTTCAACGAGCTCATCTGCGACCAGAAGGGCGAGCTCGTGCTTGTTCACGAGAATGAGCGTGGCTGGCCTCGTTTCAACGTGTGAGTATGCTACCCTCGGTGCCTTTTATCCTTTCCATTGTCCCTTGAGTATTATGGTATCACTTGTACGTAAATAATAACTAACTCAAAATTTTCCGGGTGGATACTGATCCTATCGGGGTAGTCGGATTTTTGGAATTGATTTAATTATGGTTATTATTCATATTTGTCCTAAAAAATAAAATTTCGTTTTTTTGATGTAGAGTATGATAAACATTTTCACCGGATAATCGTAAAATTTCTGTATAATTTCAAACTTTTTTTTATGTATCGATTACTTACTTTTTATCACCTGGTTCATTGTTCAGCATTCATAAAAACCATACCTTTTTCAACAAAGATGTTATTAGCTTATAAAGCGGAGAAAACTCAAAAAAAAAAAAAAACTAATATCATGCAATAATAGCTGCTGTATTGAATTCCAGAGTTCCTGTGGCTAAGTTTTCAGATATTCTTTCGGAAAACCTCAATTTTAACAGCAAATTGAGAGATAGCTCGATAGAAGAAAGAAGTTGGGCCACTTTACAAGCACAGACACGCAATAAAGCAGATATGTATATACCAGGGGATCCATACGACGTTATACTAAAGAATAAAATCAGCCAAATGAAAGATTATGAAAACTTTAACACGTTTAAGTACTACTACAATCCACCTGATACGCCTCTTGATATGGATTTCGTAAAATCTATTATCAGTGAAGATTCAGGCACGAGTGACAACGACATCGCAAATGACGATAATTCCACAAACACTGATGAGAATATCTCTTCCAACGATGATGTTAAAAATTATCCAATCAGCAATGGTTGGGCAAGTAAGAATTCTTTTTTAATACTTATTATTAATTATATTAACTACATCTCATAAAAACTTTCGAACTATATGTTTGTAACGTGATCACGTTTTTTTTCTTAGCTTACGATGGTGTTCAAGATAATGAGAACAATACTGAAAATAACAGCGAACAACAACCACAAAATCAAAAAATCCAGTTATCCGATGATAATGAAAATAACGTGAATTATAAGCAAGAGCAAGAACACCAGCAACAGCAAAATACAGACAGTAATGATAATAATGACAATGAAAACAACGAGCCCAAGGTCAGGCTCCAAATGTATGAAAACGAGGAGAATCGTGATGAGAATAGTGACGACGAGGATTATACAAGCCGTGAACAGAGGAAGACCAGACGCAATCGTTGTACTAGCGATATTCGTTGCGGAATCTTGAATAATACGTTCGACGTGTCTTTCTCAGAACAGGGCTCTTCTTCAAACAACGCCCGTTCTTACGACTCTTCGCTCGAATTTTACGATTCGGACTGGGAAGACGATGATAACGACATAGTGCCAGGAATTCTCGTCAGGTATTACATCAAAATGGCATGGAACCAGTCCAATTCGAACGAAGGCGGTCCGGGTCTCGACTATCATTGTGCCTTTAGCTTTCCTGCTGTCGTACTGACTCTAGGCAAAGAAAATTGGCCCAAACTGAAAGACGCATACCAGTCACTTGCTGGCGCTGTAACATGGAAGGTGCGTAGCACCCTGGCTTCGAGCATCCACGAAATCGCCACAATTATCGGCAAAGAGTACACCGCATCTGATCTCGTTCCAATTTTCAATGGATTCATTAAGGATTTGGACGAGGTCATGATTGGTGCGCTCAAGCACTTCGGCACCTTCTTGAACGTTCTCAGTCCTCAAGATCGAACCCAGTATTTGTCAAAGCTCAACGATTTCCTTGTCACCGACAGCAAGTGGAACTGGAGACTTAGAGAAGAACTTGTCAAACAGCTATCTTTCATCATCAAGTTGTACCAGAGCATGGATGTAGCTCAATATATTGCGCCTCTTCTGTTGCACCTAATGCAAGATAGAGTTGCAGCTGTTCGACAAGAGGCGATTCACGCTGTGAGTATCGAGACACGTTCGTGTTATAGTTCTTTGTGGACAATGAATCAAACCCTAGATTTTAATTCTAAATTTTTTTTTTATTGTAGGTGGCTACCACAATATCGTATCTAGACTCGCACAGTGATGACGCGTTGGCGATAGCCATGCTTCGAGAAATGAGGAACTTGCTTAAGTCGCACGCAACCGAAAGATGGATGATTCGCCAGACCTATGCACTTGTCTGTCAGAAGCTTATCGAGAATACAATTGTCACCGGTGAGGTCTTTGCTCGTGAACTTCTGCCATATTTGTTTGAGCTGTCGTATGATAGGGTACCCAACGTCAGGCTTGTCGTTGCTCGAACGTTCAGCGAATTGGTTTATCAAATGCGTGAGTTGACTGCTTTATTAAATAGTTGTAGTAATTTTGTCGATTAAAATCCTGTGATATCAAAATGAATGTAATTATGTTTTGTTTTTACAGCCACTTACTTTGATACGGAACTGATGAATGAAGTGAGACAAAAACTAAAAGATATGCAAAAGGATGCCGACAGAGACGTGCGCATGTTTGCCAGTGAGCTGTCAGACAAATTTTTCTAAGAGTTATCAATTATACCTAAATACACTAAATACGAATGGCATAGCATGATATTCGCGTTAAGCCTTCGAAAGAAGGCAAAAATTTTGTTTTCCATTATGGTTTGACATGAATTTTACTTAGTCTGGTGAGATGAGAATTAATGTCAAGTTATTGAAAAATAAAATCTCAAGATTCATAAAGATATAAATGCGCAAGCATTAGCAATAAATCAGCTTTTTTTTTATCCATATTTTCTTTTGATTCTCGTAAATTTACAAATTCACTGTGGTTACTAGATAACAAACAAGAACACTGCTGCGACTAAGTGATAAAAAAATAATATCTCAATTATGTTACTGCCGATAAACGATAAAGAAAACAGCAAGATCCGTCGAGTTGCGTTCGTAGTTCATGTTATGCATTGTGCTAAAGGACATGATGTTTAAATGCACATTTATAGTAAAGAAGTTTGTACACATAAAATAAAAATCCAAACATCAATGTAATTTTGAGTATTTTAGATGCGCGATTATGTATTTCAGGATGTGAGCGTTAATCTTTTTTTTCTTAACTGCCAAATATTAATGATTTCCTTCTACGAAACAAGTAGCATTCGGAAATACTGATGTTTCTGAAGCAATTTATTATATCTACTTACGCATGGTGTAACGAAAAAGTTACAATAGGAAAGCCATGTATTACTCAAGTAATACATTTTTAAATTAAAGTAAGCGTTTATACCGTGCATCCTGTTTATTCGGCATACTTTTCTGCAATTAATATGTAAATAAAGTTGAGAAATAGCGATACGTCACGTTTTTGAAGCAAACAAAAAGTATATGTATGAAATTGTTTATACTCACTCATCAAATTTTGAAGTACAATCTTTTATAACGCGTGTTATTTTATTTACGTTTAATTAGTTTTACATTCAGCTTTGTTGCCTTGACATTCAAACAGTTTTTTGCTCGATGTTTTTAAATTTTTGTAAACCTAAGCATTTTATAATAATTTTTAATAAAATATTACAGCACTGATTGCTAACTCACACTAGCAAAGATAAAGATGGTTGCGCACTCGCGACATTGTTTTTGTACTTTTTCAAAGGAGAAAGCGTAATTAGAGATATAAATAATTGTACAGTATAAGAGATTTAACGTAAACAGCCCGAAAACTTACGACGCAAGAATTTTTCGCGAAATTCTTTTTTAATAGTAAACTAATTTGTTGCGTTCGTGTTCAGTGAGAAATTCTCGCTGGCAAGTTTTTGGGAATCATCGTCGACTCGCAAAATTTTGCGTAAGCAAGTTATCTTTTTTTTTTTTTTTTTTTTTTTTTTTTTTTTTTTTTTTTTTTTTTTTTTCCGTAGTTTTCTTTTACTACGTAGCTACTCAAGCCCGCAATTTTTTCATAAACAAATATTGTGCAGTGTCATATATCGAAGTCTTTTTATTTTTTTCATAGATTCTGAACATGATTTTGATTAAATAACGGTCATTTATAAAAATTAATATACAACTGTCAATTTTATAAGCTGTCAATCGCTACATTTCCTCTGTACTGTAATTAAAATTTAAAAATATATTTAAGAAAAATGAATTTGTATGAGACTTTAATATTAACTTGATTTCGATATTATTTAAATCATTCAGCACTTTTCCATTAAAAGTTGTATTTTCTTACTCTTTCAAAGATTCTGGTTTCACACAATAATCAAAATACCATTGCGTATTTTTTTTTTCTTTCAAATTTAATACTTAAATTCAAGTCAGTCTTTGATCACTTTAATGATAATGCTCAAAATGTCGACGAGCTTTTTTTAAGATTATAAATTTAACAAAAGTATTTTTTAGATTTTGGATACCTACAACGGTAGTGTAAATATTCACAGTTTTGCAATATTCAAAGACTGAATGTGCTATTTTGCTCAAAGACTCATTTTTCCACGCGATGACCACTGCTCGTTATATGTGAACACATGTGAAGAGATCAAGATGAGTGATTGTGTGTACATTATGTATTTGCTAACGAGATGAGGAAGTAATAAATCAATGCGATTTGTTAAACAAGTTTGTCTTATTTATGCTGTTCCCTTCCCACTTTATTGCTGTTTTATGTATGTTTTAAGGAAGCTCCCTTGTGAAAATCTGAGAAACAAAATATGTTTAATTTGGTAGATTAAAATCTGTTAAATCCAATGGTAACTCTGTACTCCAAACTGGACGAAATCTCGAGAAATTTCAGCTCAAAGTTGAACCGTGTAACACGAGCTCAAATGGAAGAGCATTAAAAAATCAGCTGTCCAAGCATTTCCCGACTGAAAATCAAAAACCTGAGCAGACATTTTATGATATACTTGTAGAAAAAATTCCGTTCTTTTTAATTTTGTTTTAGAAAATGCCGGTACTTAATCGGTCATTTAAAAAAAAGATATTTGCCAAGAAATACGTGAAAATCAGTTTCAGGGTTATGTGACAGGCGGTAGCAGAAAACCGACACTGCTGTATGTAGATATATTACATGTGCTTTTTCACCACGCAATACTTCTCGAGGAGGGTTTAGGCGACCTCCTCGCAGCAAGATTGCCTAATTTCCCCCTACCCCCCTCTCAGTAATGGGAGGCCTCCCATCCCTTTCCTTGTCCCTTTCCCAAGTGCTAAGTGCTCTTATTAAAAGGAGCCGGACGTAGAGCTCTATAATATATATAAAAAAAAAAAAAAAAAAACTATATATGGTGTTGGCAAACATGTCGCCATCTGCTTTTTATTAGGAACCCTACCGCTTATTTTTTTTTGTGGTCCTGTGTAATTGTCTGATTGACTCATACTTGTTAAGGGCGCCAGTAAGTTTCGCCTGCCATGCATAAACATGTATTGGACACACATGTGTGATTAATTCCCAAGACGCATGTAAATTATTTTATGAAGTCAACAAGAATTCTAGAAGAATTTTTTTTCCCAAAAAGTTATTAAAAAGAATATTTATTTGAATCTTTAAGTAAACGTGAATGTCCGCTTTATTTGAAATCATNTACAAACGCAATGAGTTCCAGGAGCACCAGCAAGGATGAATTGTTTCGGTCGCAATTGGGAAAATTTACTGAAACTTACTTTAAAATTTGGGGCATCTTCTTTATGCAAAATATACAGCTCTTTCAGGTCTATAAGTTTAAGTCTTTTTTGTATTAAAACACGACCTTCTGGAGTCTTTACACTACATCTCTTGTACCAGGCATTACTCAACTATTTTTATCATCAATATAAAACTGCGTTACATTAGTAACAGTTTCTGCTGGCAATAATTTTCTACTTTTAGCTGTGTTGTTTCTGCTAATACGCCGCGTTCAGCTCTTCAACCTTTTGATTTTTCGGCCAACTTCCAACCATACTTAAACTCCATAGCGATTTTTTTGGGACTCCAAGACTCTAGAGCGATTGTCAATGTACGCAGTTTTAGTAGATCATACAAATCTAATGAAAAGAATTTTTCTTTTAAACAACTTAACACAATTTCTAGTTCAAGCTCTCTTGCTAATGAAGTAACTGTTGAAATCATATGTTCTCTTTCATTGGGGTCAATACATATTTATTGCTTTTCAAAATTCTTACGAAATTCGTTCATTGGTGCATCCTGTGTATATTTAGCTCTTGTATCTGTGAATGTGTCAATTTCTGTACGTACACGTTTTAGTCAACAGTTGGAATAAATTTTATCATTATGTGACAAATGAGGTAATTGTTGTTTAAGACTTTTGAATACTCGTCTTCAGTTATTTCCTCTATGTCCTGCAACACTCACATCTTGATGTTTTATTATTGATAAACAAACGGAGTCCAAAAAACTTAAGTTATCCATTCCAGCTTAGGGAAACGATTGAAACTTGAATCACCAACTCCTACTCAATTTTATTGTACTAGAAGGCTTCGCCCCTTACGCGCTCCATGTGCCAACCCCCCAAACTTTTTTGATTAAACATATTTCTAATAATTATTTAATCTAAATCGAATGATTAAATTTCAAAAATAAATCTAAGCTCAAACGAATAAAACGACCTCGATTAGCCAGCGCTTGTCTACTTAATCTCATATGTACATTTAAATGTACCGCCTTTCGTCCCTCAAGACCAATTAGATCACGGCGTATTCTGTCGACAGTCACGTGACACTCATTCTTTTAGAAGAGGATGGTAAAATAATATCAGGGAATATAGCATATATATAAAAGATATATTCTATATTCTCTGATAATATCGACAGTGGGGATCATCGCTAATCAGTCTTTTTGTGGAACCATAAAGATGTGCTCTATATGAAAAATGACATTCATAATATAATGTATAAATCGAAAGTACTCTATGCCGGCATGGCTTTTAATCATTTTGTATCTGCGAGCAAACAAGTACTTTTCACCGTACTGCAAATATGCATAAAACGTTTAAAAAAATTTTTTTTTTTATACACACAAATAATTTTTCTTATAAAAAATATCATGTATACTTTTAGTATTATATAGGAATTCTACATGTATTTTTTGTTGAAAGTAAATAAGAGTTCGTTATCCCTGTTAAATGGTTCCGGTACAACATAATAAAACCTGATAAAAATTTCTTTAATATACCGGACATAAAATTGCGAGGTGTAATATTTTATCAGTAAGTTTTTTGTCTCCCCAATGTATCGGTGTATATGATGTAAAATTATTTACCATGATTCGGAACGAAATATACCTATATGTGGATAACAAGTACATGTGGTAATTTACAAAATAGTTGTACATATTATTTTATATAGGTTATTTTCTGATGGTTGTGCATGGCGAACCTTTATGTTTATTTACAATTTTTCGACTTGTTTGTATTACCCGTCCAGAATTAAATATCCCTATTTAATGACGCAAACTTTATGACATAGGTTTTTCTTGATACACTTCTGATAAGTTTGTATAAGAAAATTCTTTGTACATTTGTATCATGTCTTACAAGCAAATATCTTGTAGGGCTCTTGAGGCGCTACTGAGGCCTTCTTGGACTATTGAGGTAGGCAGGTAGTCCCTCTAGATTTCTGGTCGGGAAAAGCATAAGTATATTTTTCATGAAATATTTGTGCTGTTTCATTTAAGATCCGGCAGATGGTGAATGAAAGTCGAATACCAGATATAGTTATACTACTAGTGTTGGCGAAATTAGATGTTAGATGGCCAAAACTAGTGTCAGATCACCCGAATATTACCACTTGAGGCGAAACCAGGGCGGTAATCGGATGAACTCAGGCCCTTCTTTACTTTATTGGCCGTTACGTTCGGAGGTTAAGAAATATTCTAGATTTCATGTTATCCATGTTTATTCACGTGAAATCTGCGACATTTTTTACTTCGCTCACTAGATGCATATAATATACTATATATATGCACTATACTAAAGATAAAGATGTTAAGTTTTCGAGGAATGCAATATGAAAAAAAATTAGAAAAAACAGTTTTTTTTTCTTTTTACTTTGATTTGCAAAAATACGGTAAAAAATAAACTTTAATAAAAATGACCAAAACTTGAAAATTTTCTTACAAAACCCATAACTTTCTATCTCAAGCCACTTTAACCCCATAACCCTCTACTCTGAAAGATTAACCCACAAGAACGTGTTGCGTTAAGTTGAAAATAATAATTACAAATTTTGGATAAACGTGCAACCATAATCAGACCCTATTAAAAAAAATTAATCCTCAACGTATATTGCATCATTGGTTTAGATCTACAAATGTTGCGATAAGACATGTGTAACTTGAGCGTTTCTCGAAAATTTTTTCACAACCCATATGGTTACGGGAGACAACTAAATTTGATCAAAGAGTAACATTTACATTGTCTAGATATTTTTAAGATATGATAGCTTTTATACTACACATGGTATTGTTTCTGTAATTTTTAATGGAAGTTTAAGTACCTACTTCATATATTAGATATTTATAATATTAAGTCGTTCTAGCTGTTTAGTGAGAAAATTTTTGTCAGTTAGCAGGTATCATTTTTGGTTGCAGTGAATGCATACGACGTCCTCATCAGGTACTGGACATGCACTTTTGGTATGCTCCGAATTACTATAACACTTTATATATGTTGCTTTAGATCTACATATAAAAGTAAGTATAGGGATATGAGGTTTAAGCACTTCAGTCGATGGTTGATGGGTTTTAAAGTAAACCCACACCGCACTCTACGTGCACATGTATATATATCGTCCTATATTATTTAGTCATTTAGGCGAGGCTATCCACACCCCCTTCGGCCTACCTCACCTGATATTTGACCCCCCTCTGTCCCCTCTTAATACAAGGAAATGTTGTTTTTATTTAAATGGGTAATTAATCCAATAAACTTTTGATTGAGCCCCTCGTTGTCATAATTTAACGCCCCTTCAGCCCTCCCTTACAATTTTTCTCTCCCCCCCCGCCCCTCGGCCTCCCCTCAGCACTCCCTCAAAACAAGGAAAAATTGTTTTTATTTCAATGTGAAACAAACCCAATAAAATTTTTAATTACTTCCCCTCAGCCTCCCTCACTACCCCTCAATTAGTTCTTACAATTGCCCCCCCTCCCTCCATTCTCTTTTCACGTCCATCAAACCCCCGCCCGCAGACCCCTCAAAATAAGAAAAAATTGTTTTTTCTTCAATGTAAAATCAACCCAATCAAATTCTTGATTACCCTCCCCCCCAGCCCCCTCGCGCTTGTTCTTTCATCTGCTTATTCCCTCCCCCCTCATTCTCTTTCTACGCTTTTTAGCTTCCCCCCTTAGCCCCTTCTTATACGGAGTCAAAATTTTATTTATTTCCATGTAAGATTTATTTGATATAATCTTTGTCAATGGTTCCTCGTAACATTAATCTAATTTGGTATATTATTATCTATTTTTTCCACACCGCCCATGACGCAAATAAACGGGTGCGTTGATAATTTTATATTACTAGGGCCCCTGCGCG